TAATGGCTGCATACTATTCTACCAAGTGAATCATCACTTACTAATCATTTATCTGTTACTAAGCACTCAGGTTTTTTTTCTAGTTTTTCATTAACTTAAAAGAAACACTGTTATGAGCATACTTGACATAAGACTTTGTGTACATTTCTGATTATTCCCTTGGCATGAGATTACTGGGTTCAAGGTTATGAACATAACAGGCTTTATGGCTTTATTGAGGTATAATTTACATACCATAATATGCACCCATTGTGTAAAAGTCAATGATTTTTAATAAATTTATAGTCATGCAATCACCTCCACAATCCAATTTTAGAATATGTTTGTCACCTGAAAGCATTTTGTCATGTTCATTTACTCTCAAACTCACTCCAACTCTAGCCCTAGACAAACACTGATTTGATTCACTTTTTCTATAAAGAGATTTGCCTTTGCTGGACATTTCATATAAGCAGAATCATACAATATGTGCTCTTTCTGCCTGGCTGCTTTCATTTAACATACTGTTTTTGTGATCCAGTGATGTTGTAGCATGAATTAGGACTTTGTTCCTTTTTTATGCTGAGTGGTATCTCATTATATGGATATACCATATTTTGTTTATCCATGCAGCTATGGATGGAAATATGGATATTTTCCAGTTTTTGCCTATTAAGAATAATACTGCTGTGAACATTTACCTGTAAGTCTCTGTGTGGACATATTTTTACCAATGTTTCTTGGGTAGAAGCCTAGGAGTGGGCCCTATGGTAAATTTATATTTAACTTTTTAAGAAACCACCAAACTGTTTTCCAAAGTGGCCACACTACCTGTAACTTATATAATTTGTCCATCAACTATACTTCAATAAAAATTAAATAAAATAAACAAAGTAAAGAAAACCAAAATGGCTACACCATTTTACCTTGTCACTAGCAAAGTATAAAGGTTATTTTTTTTCACATTCTCACCAACACTTGTCATTTTGATTATAGCCTTTCTAATAGCTATGCGTTAATATCTTTGTGGTTTGAATCCACATTTTCTTAATGACTAAAGATGTTAAACATCTTTTCATGTGCATATTAGCCATTTGTGTCTTCTTTGGAGAAACATCTATTCAAATTTTTTGCTTATTTTTAAATTGGGTTGTTTGTCTTCTTTTCTTTTTTTTTATTTATTATTTTACATTATTCCTCTTTTCCCCTCTCACCAACCTTCTTCATTCTTTACATTTTTAGAGGCGGGTGGTAATCAGGTTTATTTATTTATTTGAATGGAGGTACTGGGGATTGAACCCAAGGCCTCATGCATGCTAAGCACACAACCTACCACTGAGCTATACCCTCCCCTCCTGTTTGTCTTCCTATTGTTGGTCTTTATATATTCTGGAAACAAGTCCTTTATCAGCTATATGATTTATAAATCTTTTCTCCCGATCTGGGGCGTGTCTTTCATATTTTTAAATGATGTTTGTTAAACATGTTTGTTGAAGAGCAAAAGTGTTAATTTTAGCAAGGTCCAATTTATTGTTTTTGGATCACCTTTTTTGGTGACTTGTCTAAGAAATCTTTGCCTAACATAAGGGCATGAAGATATTCTCCCATGCTTTCCTCTAGAAGTTTTTTTGAACATTTGAAAATGATTTTTATTTGTTTTTTCATTTTGAAAATAGTCCATGATGATTTTAAAAATTTAGGTGAGCAAAAGGGAGAAAATACAGATGAGGCACAATCCTACTACCTGAGATAAGCCACCAGTAATGTTTTGTCACATACGTCTGTACTGGTTATCTATTGCTGCATAAAAATGTATCCCCAAAACGTAACAGCTTAACACAACACGTATTTATTATCTCCGAGTTTCTGTGGATCAGGCATCAGGGAGCACTTCTTTGGGTGCCTTTGTCTCAGGATCACTCCCAAGGCTGCAATCAAGATGTCAGTGGGACAGCCATCATCTCAAGGCCTGATGGGGAAAGAAAGCACTTCTGAGCTCACTCATGTGGCTGTTGGCAGCCTTCAAGTCCTCGCTGGCTGTTGGTTGGGGATATCACCTCCTTGCCACATGGATCTCAGCACAGGGCAACTTGCAACATGGCAGCTGGCTGCCTGGAGAGGGAGAGTCAGGGAGACGGTGCCCACACAGAAGCCACAGTCTTTTTGTAACCTGGTCTTGGAAGTGACATTCCGTTATTTTTCTCCCTGTTCTATTCATAGAGGTGAGTCACTAGGTCCAGCCCACTCTCAGGGGAGCGGATCCCACAAGCATATGAGTCTGAGGAGGTGAGGATCATCAAGGACCACCTCAGAAGGTTTTTACAATGTCCTTGCTCATTTTCTGTTTTTCTTATGAATTAGGTGGTGAATCTTTACTTGTGGAAAAAACAGATGCAGGGGACCCTTTCTAGAGTCTAGATTCTACTGGGCCCAAATCTCCTTGAGTGGGAACTGGCTCTCTGTAAACCTATCTTTTAAAATCCCATAGGTCACCTTAATGAGAGCCAGAGTTGAGAGTCACTGGCAAATGTAAATAGAAGTGGATGTCTCCCTGCATGGGTTACAACTGTGAAGATTTGCTTAGAAGTGTGTCTCCCCCTCAAATAGGCTTGAACACAAGTGTGCCTTGGTTCCCAAGACAGGGCCTCTGTTTCTGTCCCTCTGCTCCCCAGGAGCTGTGACCGAGGGGCGCTTTGCCGGCAGAGCCCCAGCAACAGAATCTGGCAATCACGACCTTCACTTCTGGGGCTTCAGAGGAGCTGAGCAGGTGGCAGGGGCTGCCTGCTCCGTGTTTGGCTCCAGAGCAGCTCTGACATCAATCCATCAGTCCAGAAGACAGTTTTAGACGCAAGGCTGCTGGTGTGGGGACTTTATGAGAACAGGAATCCCTGGCTGTGAAATTGCTGGCATTTCATGATGTGAGAGAAGATTTACAAGCTCCATACCAAGCCCAGCAGTTATGCAATCAAGCCGGTGAGAAGGCGGCAGATGGAGACACTGGAAGCCACCGCCCCACTGTGCCTGGGACCCCGGCCCCAGCCACGTACCCACGGTTGGGGCGGGGGGCTCGGGTCAAGGTTCCTTCAGCCACATCTGCCTTTTGGGGAGGATCTCCTGGTGTCATTGGTGAAGGAACAGGTGAGTAGTATTATGTGAGATTCTGGACGCAGAAGGGAGGGGATTTTAAAGGCACCCACCTGATACTCCCTTAACCTTCCTTGCTAAGAGGCCGTTCTGCCTCAGCTTGACATTCACCCCTCTGACTGAATCCAGAGGAGACACCCGGAATGTAGTCTTCCATAACTCTAATTTTTTGCTATTATTAAAAATTTTTTTTGTCTTTCCCACTAAAATGTAAGCTCCCTGACATCAGGAGCCTTGCCTGTCTGGCACTCTAATTATTGCTGGACCGCAATACATATATGTTGACAGAGGAAAGGAAAGAAGGGATATTTGGATATTCCTGGGGGTGGGGAACTCACCGCCTTACAGGCCAGTCTGTCCTATGTCTGGGTAGCTCTTGACTGTTGGTGCTTCCTCAGGTTGCTGCCACCCCCCCTCAGTGTGGCCTTCCTCCATTGTCCTCACTTGTAGAACCCCTAGGAACAAGCCCACTCCTCTTCCCCATTGGAGCTGTTCAGAGATTTGAAAACAGTGGTCACTTACATGCTTTCCAAGGCGAATGTCACCATTTCTTTTGGCTGTCTCTCACCCATCAGTGCTATCCTAGCCATTCTCCTCCAAAGGGCTCTAATGGGTCACTGTCCCTTAATACGTTAGGATAACTCTTTTGAGACCCTTAGCAAGTCCTGGCAGCTTGCAGATTTTGAGACCCTTCTCCCCCAACAAACATTCAGATTACTTCTTCATTCTCAGAGTTTTTAGGTAGAGTCAGTGTATTTAACCGAGGATCGATTTAACAGAATTCCAACTCTGCTCCTTTGCTCAAATTTCCAGTGAACAGCAGCTGTGGCAGCCTGGGACAGATTTGGGGGCCCATGGCTCTACTGACTTTGCCCCCCACCCCCATAACCCTTAGGACCAGGGTGAGGGGTATGGAACTGAAGGCAGATTGCACTGCGTGGTCTCACGCAGCAGAGAAGGGGACCAGCCCTCCATCAAGGGCAGTGCTCACCTAAGGGAGATATGGGGAAGTGGGCCCCCTAGGGGACAATACCAGAGTCTGAGATGAAGGGGATGTTGCACTTCAGAGTGGATATACAATATTCTTATTGTTCTCATGATTTAATCTACAAGTCAAAGTTCAACACACTTTTTTGCCAGTGGGGAGAGAAAATGAAGTGCCCAAGTATTGTTGAGCAGTGAGTTTGTGAAGGTGGGGAAACTGGCTGGGACTCTGCACCCACTGCACTCCCTCGAGCTTGGGGTGGCCTCCCCACATTCACCAGCTGGTATGTTGATCCTGATGGCACTTCCCCTGCTGGCTACTTTTGACTGCAGGTACTGGACCCCAAGTGCATAACAGAGGTGAACCCCACTCTGCCTTCTTGGCAGGGTGTTCTGGGAACTCAGGAGGGAACCACATGCCTGGGCTTGGTAACCCAGGCAGGGAAGGGCTGGTGGCTGCCGGGGGCAACTGGCCCATGTCAGCTACTGCTCTGGCCTGGGCCCCAGGGAGTCCCCAACCCTTCAAGATGGGCCTGGGGCCTGAACAGGTAAATGTTTGGGTGAAGTACATAAGACTTCTGGATACTACTTTGCAGGTGACAAAAAGGGAAGGGAGGAGCAAGGGTCACTTTGATCCACTGCTTGGTGAAAATATCATTCATTCGTTCATTCAGTCATCCATCCATCACTTACTCAGTTAACACGTGTTCTGGGCCCACCGCAGCCAGGACTCGTGCTACTTCCTTCTTCATCCGTCCCTTTTCCTGCAGCCCCACCCTCTGTCTCTAAGGAATTTGTGGAAATTTCTAAATAAATGATTAAGTAATAAGTAATAAAAATAAATAATAAATAAGTAATTCAACAAGAAAACTAAATGCCCAGGAAAAGACAACTATGTAAAATGCTATTTAATTAAAAAAATTTTTTTTAATAATAAAGTACCAAAATTAGAGTTTTAGAGAAAAGTCCACATTCTCATCAATCAATCTCCAGTCTAATTAAATGTCCCCAAGTCGTTTCTCATGGCAAGTCTCTGCACATAAACATCGTTCTGAAAGTCCTCCTGACTTGACGTGCTTTATAGGGAAGTGTGGAGGGAAAAGGGGTTTGGGCAACAACTTTATTAAAGAAAAGAACAGAATGGGTTTCATCATCCCTGGGACCCTGATTGGACTGCTAGGACTCAGGCAGCTGTCAACGTTGTTAGAGAGAAAATGTGACTTACAACCCCACCGTGTCACAGAGCAAACACACAATAAACAAAAACCAAGGAGGCAGGTTGTCTGGGGGCTGGTGAGGACCGGCATCTGCCGTCCCAAGGAAGAGAGGAGCCCCACTTTGCACACGCGACCAGGCGAGTGTGTGAGGTGTCTTTTGGTGGGTGAACTGTTAGACTTGCGGTGTAGATGAGAGTCTTTTCTATCCCAGTCAACCCCCTGACTTCCCCACGGCTCCCCTGGTCCACACCTGGGAGGGCCTACCCAGAGGTGAAGCCAATGTTTTACTTGGAAGATGTTTATTACTCCCATGAACCACTATTAATTAGAGCCCACAATTGGTGCATCAGATATTCGGTGGACATGCTTGGGGACCACGGCCAAACAGTTTATCAGCTTTCACTAGTTTCTGAATCCTAGTTTAGGCGCAAACCTCTTTGTGCCTCAGCCTCCCCACTTCTAACGTGGGCAGTTACAGAGTGGTTAACCCTGGGATGCTCATAGCAGCCACTGTTCTGTAAACAATGAGCGGTTCAGAGTGTTCTGAGGGCCCTTGAGTTGTTCCAGAAGGTCTGTCACCGAGTCTGTGAAATCTGAGGCCCGAAAGGCAAGGAAGATGGGAGCATATTGTGCCTGCTGCCCCGATGCCTGGGGTGAGCGCTACCAGTGCACGCCGTGTACCCTGGCTTTGCAGCTCGCTGTTTCCCTCTGTGTGGGCCAAGGTCAGTGGTAACCCCTGGTAACACTTACAGCTTTAATTGTGGTGCTGAGGGCCACAATGCCTCCCTCTCCTGGTCTATTTTGGTCAAGGCAAAGTTCAAGAGGAAAGGGATCCCACAGTGGTGGCATGTGTGCAGCCGGAGCCCTCCCCTCCCTGCAGGTGTCTGAGCACATGGGCTTGATTCCGGCAGCACTGAGCTGCGGTGCCAGCTCTGCCATGTGCTCTCGGGGCTGACTTCCTAGTCTTGCTAAGCTTCGTCCTTATCTCTAAACTGGGAATTAAAAGTACCTGCCACCCCGGGCTGTCGTTCAACTGAACTATATGTAAAGGGCAGAGCATAGAGTTTGGCACAGAATGTGTATTCTGTCAATGGGAGCGTTCTTCCCCCAGCGGGTTCTTCCTGGTGCAGGCTTCCCAGTTTGGCCTGGGAGGAGCTGCCTTCTCCTGCAGTCCTGGGCTCCCAAATGGGGACACTTCTTATAAGTGCCTTGTCTGCTTGTTGGCTGGATTCCAGAGCTTTCTACTTCTTTTGGTGCCAGAGGCAACAGGGGCTCCCTGGACTCACTTCCCACTCAGTGAGGCCACAGAACCAATCTCCCATAATACATCACAGGCGAGATGCTGACCACTGCCTAGATGTAACCACTCTGGGGCCCCAGGCCCTCCCCAGCCTCTATCAATATTTGTGTACATTAGTGCTGGGGGTCCCAGGCTCTGCTCTCTGTTCAAGCAACTATAGGAACCCTCAGCTCATTACTCTGGTGAGGCACAGGACCATCTAGACATGGGACCCTCCTGTCATTTGCCCAGAAGGACCATTTTGTACAGTAGAGGCACATGTTTTCAAGGTCACAGGATCTTTCTGCCTACTCCTGTCCCCCACCCCACCATGTGCACATGCGCGCGCGCACACACACACACACACATTCCCCTGCTTCTCCACCCGTGAAATCTCTAACTCCAGTTGCTTGACCACTGGGCTCCTATCTTGTTGTTCTTGTTTGCCTGGTTTTGGTTTCATTTATCCTGCAGCTTTTGGGGAAACTGTCTCTGAGTCTTTGGAAAGTAAACAACACAAAAGTAAATCGGTGTAGAAGCTCTTCAAAACATTGACTTGTGTCACGCAGTAAAAAGTTTCTCTGCTGACCTCGGAATCAAGCTTTTCTGGAGGTCTCTGTTTAGTGAAGAGTTCCTGGAGATTTCTGTAGGTTGAAATATACTGGTTATCATTTGCAGTTACTTATTAGTGTGAATCAGACTTGTTCAATAAGGTACACCCAGTCAATATCAACACAAATCATAGAAACAAGTCAGATGCAGAGGGCTGCTCATAGCTGAGTCACATAATTCCTGGTTTCATTTTTTTGTGTGTGTTTAGCAAGTAACCTTGTTCAGTCTATGTCACAAATCAACTTATTATAATAAGTAAATGCGATATTTCCTTATGAAATTCAATACCATAGTTCTTTAAAAGTATTTGTGCATTATCGGTGTTTGGTTAATCACTGTGACAAAAAAACCCCTCAAATTTCAGTGTCTTAATGTATATCCAAATATAGTGTGAGTCATCAGGAAGACAGTCCTACTGTCATGTAGGGCTTCTGCCTTCTTCCACCCTGCAGTTCCACCTTCCCCTGGGTCCTCGGAGTCATTGTCACTCAGCTCAAGTGGGAAAAGCCAGGAGCCTCTGTGGGGGGTTTTGTGGCCCAGCCTGTAAGCAGTGCCCTCTGCTTACATCCCATTGGCCAGAACTCAATTGCATGACTGTCACCTGAATACAAGGCAAGGAAGTGTGTGTCCAGTAAGACGAATGTGGGTGAGGGGTAGCAGTGTCTGCTATAAATATATACCCTCACCCAAGTGTGAGGCCCCTCAGAGAGCTTGTGGTTGGCAGAACGACAGCCTTCCAAAGATGTCCATGTCCTCATATCTAGAATCTGTGAATCTGTTACCTGACATGTAAAAGGGACCTTGCAGGTGTGATTCAGAATCTTGAGATAAGGAGAGTTTACCGGATGACCTGGGTGTAATCACAAGGGTCCTTAGAAGTGGAAGAGGGTGGCGGGAATCAGAGAGAGGTTTAAAGATGCTGTGGCTTTGAAGATAGAGGCAAGGAATGCAAGCAGCCTAGAGAAGCTACAGAGGCAAGGGAATGAGTCTCCCCTAGACCCTCTAGAAGAAATGCAGCCCTGTAGACACCTTGATTTTAGCCCATGAAACTCGTTTCAGGCTTCTGATCTGCAGGGTTGTAAGAGAGTAAATTTATGTTGTTTTAAGTCACTAAGTGTGTGGCTATTTGCTACAGAGCCATAGGAAACCAATGCAGAGCTCCTTCTGCTTTCATCCCCACTGTGTGTCTGATCTGCAGAATGTACGTGTAGTAGGGGTATTTTTCACATGGAGTTTGACAGGGAACAAAGCAAACCTGTGAAGCAGGAACTGAATCAACAAGGAAGGTGAAGCTGTATCCTAAAGACTTATTCAGGCCCAATTGCATCACCATCCCAGGGTTCCAGGTGCTACCAAAAGAGAAGTCCTAATTCACAAGCACTTCTAGTCTCTGCTTGTGTCTCATTTATTATTTTCTGTTGTCCAGGGCAGGTCACATGGCCAAGCTTGGATTTAAGGGATGGAGAAATAAACTCTGCCTTTTGATAGGAGGGACAGCAAAGTTGCATTGCAAAGTACAGGACAGGAGGAATTATTGCAGCCATCTTCACAAATGACCCACCACTGTCAGTACTGAGATGTAGGACAGAGGTGAGGAGGGGCCTGGAGGCTCAGTTCCATGAGGGAAGTGGCAGGGAGAAATGCGGAGCACACATGACAGTCAATCCACACGTGCCACACATGGAGGACACTGGGGTCAGCGAGGGGACTTGACTTCACCTTCTGTCTTAAACTGCAGGGAAATGTATCATCTCATGTGGCGAAACTGCAGAGGTCGGGCTTGCTCCAGCTTGGCCAAAGGTGCAACTCAACAAGGTCACCCGTCCCAGGTCCTGACCGTCAACTCTCTGCCCTCCTCAGTGAGGGCTGGCCCTTTAGGCTTGCAGTACAATGACGGCAGCCAGTCTCAGAGCCACACCCAGGCACCTGTAGAGGGAGAAGCAGAAACTGTTCTCAGAACCCAGCCCAGCAGTCTTCCCCATAGAGCTCCTTGGCCAGCATTGGGCCAAGAGGGTGGGACTGCCATGGCTGGTCATTTTAGTGTCCTGCGGCTGCCAAAACAAAATACCACATGCTGGGTGGCTTAAAGCAACAGAAATGTGTTGTCTCACAGTTCTGAAGGCTAGAAGTCCTAAATCGATGTGTTGGCAGTGCCTTGTTCTCTCCGAAACCTGAAGGAAAACCCTTCCTTGCCTCCTCCTATCTTCAGGTGGTTTGCCCCAAGTCTTTGACACGCCTTGGCCTGTAGATGCACCCCTCCAACCTCGTGTCTTCACTGGCCTGCTCCCTGTGTCTTCACATTGTCTTCCCTCTGTCCATGTCTGTCTCTGAGTCCAGATTTCCCCTTTTCATAAGGACATGGGCCATATTGGATTAAGGCCCACCTTAATGACTTCATTTTACTTGACAACCTCTGTTGCAACCCTATTTCTAAATAAGGTCGCATTCTGAGGTAGTAGGGGTTTTCTGAGGGGGACTGCAACTCATAACGCTGGCTTATAAGACTAATCATCTGAGTGCAGCTGGTGTTGGGAGTGGACCACAAGGACCCCTGCAGCCCTCGAACGAGTGAATGAGTGAATGAACGGGCACGGTACGTGGGGATGCATGTAGAGTCATGTAATGGCTTTGTGGTGAAGCCTGTGGGGTAATTTTAGCCCCAGAACTCACTGAGGATATTTGGGCACTTGTACCTTCTGCTTATGACAGATTGTTGATCACAGTTATGATTTATCCCTGGCTGCATCTTTCATCGAGAATGCAACCCTTCAAGGAGAACAAATGCTGTTCCTCTGGGAAATTTTGACAATCCACATTACGACATGGTTTCCAGGAATACATTGTGGTGAAAACGTCCAGCCTGCTTATATAGACACTCAGCAAGTATCCACAAACACCCACCTGGTACACACAGACCATCATCACCAGGGCAACCCAGGAGAGCAGCCGGCTGCCTAGCAACACTGCCTCCCTGGCTCCCACCTTCCATTACTGCTTTCCTCTTCAAGGCAGCTCTCCGAGGGCAGGACAGTTGGATTTCACTGTGGGAGGGAGGGGGGACTCTGGATATCCTACTCACAAAATTTACCAGAGTTGCCTTGTTGTTTTAAAATATGTTTAGGTCTACCCAACCCCAAACATACCATATATTTCTTAGAAGCCAAACTGAAAATCTGCACCATCATTGAAAGTCCTTAGTAATACATAATGCCAGATTAGGGGTTGCCAGCATTGTAGAGGAAGCACTAAATCACTTACCTTGTTCTTTTGAGTGGGTGGGGGACCGGGTGGAATTGGGGTATCAGAGAGTTTCTGGGAGGGGCCAGAGTCAAAAATAAAAATCTCTCCCGCATAGTCTATTAATTAGAAATTCATTCCAGTAGATCCTTTAATGGCTTTTTAAATTTTTATTTTTATTTCCCTAATGATTATTGATGTTGAGCAACTTTTCACATACCTATTGGCTATTTGCATGTCTTCTTTTTCTCTCAGTGGATCCTTTAACAATATGTGTCTATCTCCACAGAGAGCTAGCAGTCAGTCACCTTTTACTGCAATTGTTTTCCCTGATAATAAGGACTGGTTTTTGACCAGTGGAGACAGGAGAGCAGTGGAGTCAGAGAAATCGATTTGCAACCTGGACACTTTGAGAAGGGCAGACCTCCGTGACAGTGGGTGTTTGGGGGCTTGTAGATGGTAGAGGAAAAGGGTACAGAACGGAAGGAGAAGGATGCCAGAAGCCACTGTGATTCTGACCAGAGCAGGGACCCAGGGGGCCATCACAACTTCTGTCCACAGTCGCTTTTGCTGCTAGGAAAGGGTGGTTTTTCTCCAGTAGCAGCTCCTGCCCTTGAACTTGAACCCTCTCCTAGGTAATGGTGTCACCACCCACCGAAGTACCCAGGCTACTCCAGACGCCTCTCTTGTGCTCAGTGTTGGGCTCACTGCCGTTCTTCAAAGTCCAAGGACCCCCCATCCCTGGCCTCTCAGATGTCTGACATTCTTTGCTGGGCACGTTTCCCCTAGCAAACTAATAGCCCTAGGCAATGCCTAATCTCACAATAGCTCGGCTGGCTTGTTTCAGCCCACCTCATCAGAGTCATAGACCCCACCACCCTTCCTGGACCTTAAACCTCTTACCTCACCTGCAACCAGTCAGAGCCTTGCACACAAGCTGATCAGGTATCTTGTGACCCTACTTTATCAAAGTCCCCAATAACTGGCCCTCAGTGCTCACACAGGCACCCCTCACCCGTGTGGCCCGCTCTTTCCTATGACAGTGTACCCTAATTAACTCCTTTCTATTCTCATACTTAACCTCTGGTAAATTCTCTTACCAACCTGTGTTACCGGCCCACCCCGCTGTGCACACAGCACTTCGTCCCTGTCAACAGGTCATGACACTTCCACCTCCTCCATATTGTTCAAATCTTTCTCCTCCTCCTCATCTCTGCAACCCTCTACCTGTCCCATCCCTCTGCCTCTGACTCATCCTCCATCTACTCAAAGTGGTCTTGGTGAACTGCTTATCTCATCACCCCACCCTGTGCATCTACCCCTGCAAACCGCTTCTATCCCGCTCTTGGCCCTGGGGGCTGACCTGAGTGGACCACAGTGATAACCTCCCTTGGCTTCTGCTTTGGTTGGACTCGGCCAATGGGGAGCAGCAGCAGGAGGTCAAAGGGGGAAGAGAGTGAGGCTGGGTCTTTACCCACCTCACTGCGGAGTCACCTTAGACTAAGGCCACGGCTCCTCTCCAGGTGACCTTCTCATGACTGTCCCAGCAATGCTCTTTCCCCTCACCCCTTCCTACCATGGCTCTCCTGTTACTTGCTTCAGGTAGAGCATTATACCTTGTGGTTTTAGCACATGGTGCCCAAACCTGAGTAAAAAGCCTTTCCATTTAGAACTCCTCAAATTATCCTCATTTAAGCGTGCCAGCCCGTTCTGCTGGGTCCCTGAATGATTCAGTTCTGCTACTCAAAGGTTCCCACCGCCTTTAAAATAAAGTCCATATTGATAATCCCGGGATTCAAGATCCCTCGTCATCCAGCCCCCATTTACCTTTCCTGCCTGGTTCTTGCCACTGGCCTTCCCTTCCTCTAGAATCTAATTATAAGGAGTTGGTTGTATTTACCTTCAGATATTTGCATCTCTGAGCACACTGTTCTTTATGCCTGATCAGCCTGCCCCTCTCTCTCAGCCTCGAGAAAACCTGGCTATCTGTTAAGGCCTGATGCAAAGGTACTGAAGGTCTAGCACCGTGCCTAGTACATGGTAAACTCTCAGCAGTCACAGATGAATGAGTAAATGAGAATTTTTGAGAACCTCACTTCCAGGCCCAATGGCATACAAAGGTATATTCACAGAGACATAGGACGCGATGCTTAAGGAAAAGGATTTCACACTAAAAGCAGGTACTGCCCAGGCTTCTTCCCTAAATTCTGGGGACCAGCGGCAGGGGGAAGGTAGGAGGCTTCAAGCACAAGGCAGCACTAGTGTGTGGCCCCGAGCAAAGCTGGGGAGGAGCAGTGGCATCTCCCCCACAGGCCTGTCTCTGATCATCCCTGATGAATCACTGTGGGAAAAACAGAGATGTTCCAGAGAGCCAGACATGTAATCAGCAGGAAAATCCTTCCCTTCAGGGTGTTCTCATTCAGTTAATATTCTCCTGCTGTGAGCTTCCTCAGGAGAGGATGCCCTGGTGAAGAGTAGGGATGGAGCCGGAGTGGGCGAGGGAGGAGTGGGACTGGAGGATGGGAGGAGGGCCGGTGTACCCCAGCCCTTAGGGGAGGCTTCCGGGAGCCAGGTGGCTGAATCCATCACCCAGAACAAGGGCCCCGAGGCCCACTAGAGAGTGGGCCAGAGGGCCTGGAATGCTTCGGGTTGCCCCTCATTTATGTGGGACAGCTGACAGAGCAGGTCTCCAACCCTTCTTACTCTGGATCTGACTGCTGAAGAAATAATTTTCTGAAAATTGCATAAGAAACTGTCACTAGAGGGTCCCTGTGGGTAGGCGAGGCTAAGGAAGAGGATTTCATTTTTTTCATTTTATACTGTTTTGTGTAAATAGCATGCAGTGGTGTGATTTTTGAAAAATGCCAAATGGTTGTCTCATCAATGGAACTTTGGATCAGTTGGTTTGCAGTTTATTTCTGTATTTTAAAAATAATAATAAATGTTATTAAAAATCAATGTACCTACTGTACCTCTAAGATTTCCAAGACAGCCCCGAGTTCAAATACTCTGTCCCTTTGGTCTCACACACCATAGAAATGTCCCAGAAATTCTGATAGCGTGATAGAATCAAAATTTCCTCACGTATCTGAAAGTCATGCCAAATCTCAAAATCAGACCTCAGTTCCTAATTTCTAGCATAGAAAATATATTCAAAATTTTCAAGTCCAGTAAGAACATTCACTTTCCTCTCTGAGCGCACCCTCCCAGGTGCTCAGAATAGCAGCAGTACATTAATTTTTTTTGAGAATCTGAAGATGCAAACATGCTTTTAAAGGGTTGTGTGAGTCTGCCGATCCCCAAGTTTAAGAATGGTTCCCTGGGCACTAGGAGCCTGCTGGGGGCACTCACGCTATCTAGAAATGGGGGATCACTCCCCAAGTTGTCTCCAGTTATAGATCCTGCCAAGACCTGGCCTCAGCCAGGGCCACTGGTTTCCATTCATGTTCTGGAAACTTCTTTTTTCTCTGGAGCTTCCTCTTACCATGTCTTAGCAACTACTGACTCTTCTAAACCAGAGGCAAGATATTCCACTGATGACATTGCTAGAGCTTCTGAATCAAGCTCCTCCTGAAGGCAGCCTATCACTGTATTTTGTTACAAGCCAATAAATTCCCCTTTTGCTTTAAGAGTATTCAAGTGTTTTGTTGTTGTTGTTGTTTTGCTTTGTTTTTCCTCGCTGCAATATAAAGACTCCTGAGTGATGTGCTATGCTGAAGGCAGGCCTAGAATCTGCGCCAGGTCTCTGCCCTAGTGAGGGACCTAATATCTCCTGCTCTCTGCTTATCCCAGGCTGCCACGAGAAACCATCAGC